TAGTGAGGTGGGTTTCATTTGGGTAGGCGAAAAGCCAATTCTATATTGGCCATTAAGATGTCTTACACCAATACCATATTTTGAATTGATCTAATATTGTGTTATTTTGACATCCCCTATCCCCTATCTCTTAATTCAGAACGTGCTGAGCTTAAGTGGCAGGTTCACATACTTCGAAATTCTATGTGGCAAAATTACATGCTTCTTATTAGGTTTGGGTAGATTTTAATTTACTTCCAATCCAAAAATAAATAAGTTCGGATTATCTGTAAATATGTTGATTATTTATGGTCATGTTGCATGTGTTAATTGTATTTTAATATTATTTCTGATTATAACTATTTAATTATAAATGTATTTTAAAAGTTAATAACTTTTGTATTTTTTATCAGTTATATATATATAATATATCAAATTAATCATCTCTTGATGAGCTTCGATTTAACATCCATATTGTATGTATAAAAAAAATAAATTATATATATCTTTATAAAAATAATAAAATTATTTTTATTATTAAGTAGATAAATAAATTTATTTATCATTTAATATATTTATATTTCAAGTAGTTATATGATATAAGTTATAAAAATTACTATAATATAACACATTTTAGTTGCACAAGTAACAAATGTCATTCTAAAATATATAATAAAATATATTTTTTGTAAAAAAATTAATAAAATTTAAAATAATTTTTTCATAAATTTTAAAGTTTAAAAATAATTTTTTAACAAGCACCCGTGTAATACACAACTATTGTACTAGTCGATTAATTAATACCAACCGGAAAAAGTCTTAATGAGCATGATGGGGAATGAGATATTTTAACATATAAAATGCGGTACCCCTACTTGCTCCACTAAAAATAATAATCTAATACTTAATTCTCATTATTTTCGTAGATATATCTAATTTGCAAATAAAATACAAAAAATATTTAAACTTACTATTATATCCAATTTCACCATGGGGTTAAGGCTTCGTGCGAGATTTGGCATGTCCCGGTATCTGTCCTGTTTTTATAAATCGGTTCAGCAGTAGTTGAGGGTGAGACACTATCCCGAATAAACTTCTACTCATTCACAAACGGAACCAACCGATTGGGGACAACGTCAATACAAAAAATAAATAAATTATTATCATACAAACTAGGACTATTTCAATAATATAGCTTTTAAGAGAAGCAAATCATACTTCATCTAAAAGTCATCATCATTTTCAATTCATAAAATAGAAAATTACTTTTAGATCACATCAACTTTAATTATTATAATTAACTCTTAACGGTTCACAATCTCAATATCAAATTCTAATTTTCACTCAATCAACGTATTTCAAATCCTAACCTACTTTATCCAATAAATTCAATTTTACCCAAAATATTATCTTTAAGTCTTTTTATCTTTGATTTTAG